TTCGGCCTCCCGTGGTGGGCTCAGCGCGCACTCAGCAGGGGCAGGAGCCGGCCCACCCTTGGTGAGCAGCGGCCCACATCTGTCCCTGTCACCGTGGCTGCTCTGCACAGGTGTGTGGTGGCTGGGAGGAGGGGCCGGGTCACAGCCTGGCCACCATGTCCCTTTGGCACAGCTCACGGTTGTCATCACCATCATGCACGCGTCTGGCTCCTTGCAGGAGCTGACGAGTGGCCCGGCGGGACGTGACGGGGTCCGCCTCGCCTGCACCGTCTTCAGCAGCGGCCCTGAAGCTGCACAGTTTTCGAGACTGTGGTATTGCTCCAGAGCTACCTGGTGGGGCTGCAAGGGAAGAGGTCCGCTTTAGGGACTTCTGCTTGGCCCTTCCCACCATAAATGCCTCTCACCCTTTAGGAAGAGTCAATGTGAGGGTTTGCCAGTCGCTTACAGCACATATCATAATCATGCCATTGAGAGCGAGGGGCAAAGTCCCCTGGATGGCCTTGCCCAAGGGCCGCGTCGTCTGGCCTCCTGAGCGCGGACTGCTGGGTCGTGAATGCGGGAGGGTGTGCGGCCTGCCCCGAGGCAGGGTGCTGTCTGAGGGCAGCTTGGCAGGGCCCAGTCAAGCAGGCCTGCGCCCCGGCGGCTGCAAAGCGACTGGCGTGGGGAGCGGGCCCAGAGAGTGCTGCAGCTGGGGGCAAGAGGGGCCCGGGTTGGGGCCTCCAGGTGGGGCGTGCATGGACACATGGGGTGGGGGGACCAGGTAACAGACTCGTGGGGAGAGTCAGAGGGTGGAGGCAGGGCTGCCAGCTCGACTCAGGCGCCAGGTGAGAGGCTGTCAGTCAGAGTGAGCATCCAGACAGAGGGGCTGGCGCTCAGTGCCCAGGAGACCCGGACATGGGGACAGCCAGGCCTGAGGGCCAGAGGCCTACTGGCCCAGGAAGCCTAGACCCGGAAGGGCAGGTGCAGACAGCACAGGGGGAGCCCCGCACCTAGGGTGGGGGACGCTGGTTCTGCACTCGAGAGCCCTCTTAGCCAGAAGTCTCGCATATGCCTTGTGGTGTAGAAAAAGTAAACGTGGGACTTGGTTGGCCTGGGGACATGACAGAGGTCAACTGTGCTGGAAGGTGAAAAATGAGCGTGAATCCTGTCCACAAGTGGCCTCTGGACAGTTACTAGTATTTTCTTTTAACCTAGTACAGCTTGGCATAAACTGCACGCACAGACAGAGCATGACTCCATTTCTGTTGACCATGGTCATCTGCAATAGGACCTCAAACTCAGAAATAAAAACAAAAAAACCCCAGTAATAGCCAAAGAAGGGCCTCTGGGCATCCAGCAGTTATCTCCCTAATGGTCAGGCTTTTTACTCTACAAGAGGGACAGACCTTTCCCTTCATCAATCGCACTGAAGGCAAGAAGTTTCAGGACAGACAGGCAAACGGCAAAGACTGCAGAGAGGGGACAGGCGGCCGGAAAGGCCGCCAGGGCGCAGGGAGAGCGTGGTGACTGGGCTGCGCAGGGGCGGCACTGGGCTTGGAAGGCAGCCGTGGGAGGAGGGTGCCTGCGGCGACTCCCCGGGACGCATCAGACATGGTGACCTGGGGGACCCTCCAAGGCAGACAGTGTGCTCTGCTGTATGAGAAGCTGCATCTTCCAGGCACACGTCCCGGGCTGCACCACCCCGGAAGCCCGCATGTCCCCGTGTCGCCACTGCGCTGGCCCCTCCACAGGGTCCCCCCTGTTCTCTCCAGCTCAGGCTGTGTCCTGCTGCACTGTTGCTGGGCACTGTAAGAGGCATTGCAGATTTCTAAGCTGTACTCTGCAGGCACAGAGAGAGTTTAGGATTGGGAGTGGGGGTACAGATAAGCGCCCTGGGAGAATCTGGGTCTGAACCACGGAAGCCAGCACAGAGCGAGCCGTAGGCTTCTTCACGCCCAGCGGTCCCGCCTCCTAGACGCTGCTGTTACCCACAGGACACAGGAGAGAATGAAGCCACAGTTGCTTACACAAACCTGAAGGAAGGATTTCTGTGGCTAAAATGGAGCATATAGCCGTTACTTACTGTGCTGGAAAAAGCCGCCGGATGGCTTGCCCCCAGATTGGGCGGGCATACCCGACTCTGCGTTATCTAATCGACCTGTGGGCATCCCGGAGGGGGGGTGGAGTCCTCATCTGAGCAGGCAGTTATCCTCCTGAGCTGCTGAACCTGAGGGCCAGTGCCGTGTGTCACTGCCAATCTAAAGAGAAATGCCACCGTACTGAGCTGCTGTGGGTAGAAAAACACACGCCGGGCTCCTGAGCATGAGGCCCTGATTAAACGTCCCAAGAGAGGGCGCTCCACATGCCGAGAACCCATCTTTCATTCCAGCTGCTTGGTGATGAGCTAGTCCATGCAGCATTCCCAGGAGGGGGAGCAACAGGATTCGCTCATGTATTTATTTGCTTACTGACATACACTAATGGCAAGCAGTTCTTTCAAAAAGATATAAACAAATACAGGGTAAACAAATCGCCTTTTTAATCCTGAATGCAAATGCCATTTTGCAAAATGACAGAACAACATCACAACCAGAATATGTCACACACAGATCTTTTCAGAGTCCCCCGTTTCACGTGCATTCACCTGTGGGTATTAAGTTCTGCACAATCTTATGACCTTATAGTTTGTGTATCCGCGAACCACAGTCAAGGTGCTGAGTAGCTCTGATAGCACAAGGAACCCTTTGGTAGCCCACCTACCCTCCCACCCCCATCTCGGGGGTTCCTGATAACCACTGATCTAGTCTCTGTTTCCAAAATTCTGTCAACTCAGAAATGTTGTATAAATGGAATCAAAGATCACCACCAGAAACTGGGAGAGACGAGAAAGGATCCTTCCCCCAGGGGCAGGCCCTGCTGGCGCTTTGATTTCAGACGCCGGCCTCCTGAGACAATAAATTTCAGTTGTTTTATACCATCCAGTTCGCAGTACTTTGTTATGACAGCCCCAGGAAGCTAATGCAATGAAGAAAAGCTGCAGATGTGTGCCAGCCGGTGTGGGTGGGAATGGGTTGGCATCCATTCTGCAGCAGCAGCCCTTCTCAGGAGCAGAAGCCTGGAAACCTTTCCCATGTTCACCAACAGGAACGTGGATCAATAAACCATGATGTCATCAGAAAGCAGCAGCAGAGTGAAGAAATCACAGCAGCTCACGATGACACGCACGAGTCTCAGCAGCAGACACTCAATGAGTGAAACAAGTTTCAAAGATGACATACAGTGTGACAGATTTTTTTGCAAAATTAAAAATTAATTAGAAATTTGCATTCTGGAATATATACACACACATATGATGTGAGGCCATGTGACGTGAAAAGGAGTCCAAGGGGCTGCCCAGAGGAGGGCGCGGAGGCCCGAGGGGCGGAGCGCGTAGGGGCACGCAGGGACTGCCAAGGCTTTAGCTTTCACGCTGAGCCCACAGGGCCTTATTACATTACAGGGGCACAAACCTGTGAGAAGCACCACGCAGGAGCTAACCCTGATGATGTTCGTGAATCCAGGGTAAAGATAATTCGATTTGGTGCACACGAATCCAGTAAGAAAAAAAAAAAGGATATAAACCTAACCAAGTCCTCCTGCTGCAGAGGGAATGGAGAAAAAGAGAGACAACCCCGAGCGGGCTCTGCCGTGCCCCCGTGAGCTGACATCGGGTGGTTCTAAGTTCTCATCCTGTGGAAGGGCTGGGGCTGGAGCTACGCCGTGTACTGCCCACGAGCCCCTGCAGGTACACGGCTCACATGCAGCCACCCCGCCACATCCACCCGTGAGCGTGAGTCACTCTGGAGCACTGTCGCTGGTGCTCCCAGCAGCAGTGGGGTGCCGCCTCCTGCATCTTTGCCAACACCCAGCATCAGTGTTTAGACAAAAAGAAACCCTTGCCATCCTGCAGAGCGCAAAAAGGTATGCGGCCTCTTATGTATATTTTTTCCACTTCAGCAACTTGTGAGGTTGGACATTTTCCACTTGCTCACTGGTCTTTTCAGCCTTTTCTCACGTGGATACTGGTTCAGCTCTTTGACTGTTTCTGCGGGAGTGGAGTCGCTGCCCTTTCCTGCCTGGTCCGTATTTTATGTATTGACCACGGGGAGCATTGCCGCAGTGGTTAATCAGTGACTCGTGTGAATCACTTCATCGTCTCTGGTTGTAAACTTGGGAGCACGTCCAACCCGAGGCTGCTGGGCCCCATCCCCTCATCCCGAGTCTGGAAGCGTGCCCTTTTGGTGCTCTTGGGGCTGGGGGGCACACGTGGGAGGCAGGAGGGGCTCTGCACAAGTGTCCCCTTCTCACCACCCCTGGCTCCAACTCAATCTCCACTGTACAAAGAACATGAAGAATTCTGTGGGGATTGACAAGCCACATATTATGCCTTGAGAATTATTTGACATTTCAACCGCCCTGAAGTGTGAAAGGCCCCATTGTGCACAGATTCAAATTCATCCCGAGCTCTCATGATGTCCTGGGCAGAAGCCTGCTTTTCATTTCCATCTATATAATCCATGCAATTTCCTCTGGGAGTTTGAAGACAATGTTTCAGTTATTGATCCACAAAAGAATGATTTGTGTGGGTGACCCAATCAGTGACTGCTCCGAAACTCCTACTTAGGGCCCATGTAAGGATCCCTCCAAGTCTCTTTTCCCACGCGTGGTTTAGCTGGAGTCTCCGTTTGTCAATAAGCAAAAGGAGGCCCCGTGCCCGGAGGACAGACAGGCAGACGAAGAGGACGGCCGGGGGCACAGGCGCAAGGGTCTTGCCCTCCCGGGGGGCCAATGTATGACCCCTTCTAAAAGAGAAAGACATGGATTTTCACTTCCACCTAACTTGCTTTATAACATCCTATTAAAGAGATCCTTGGTTAAAACAGTTGTTATTTTTCAAGTAAAACCAAGGCCTGTTCATAAGCAGGAGAATCCCAAGCTGCTGACACAGAAGCGAGCCTGGCTCCTCTGAGCCGTTGCCTGGAGACCTGGGGGCAGGTGGCAAACGAGGTGACAGGTCCACTGCAGGCGTGCCCTCTCACCCCGTCGGAGCCAGTCTCCAGTTTGCCCTCCCTTCTGGGCTGGACGAGCTCACTGAATGGAAGAGTAAAGAACATGGCATTCTCCAAGGACGCTGACCCAGCCTGAGGGAACCACCCGCCCCGGGGAGGGCACCTGAGGGCCGGTAGGACCCGGCGGGGGGCAGCGGGAGGGACTCTGCCAGGCTGGGCAGGACGCAGCCAGGGCGCCAGCAGTAGAAATGTTGGCAGCTCCCCAGCTGCCCCCGAGTGCCCCTGGCTTCAGTGTGAATGCGGTCCAGCCAGGGCACACCACAGGGCATATGCACTGGCACATGGCCGAAAGGATGGGGCTCCCAAAGGAGCCCAAGATTCAAACATCACCCCCTCCAACAGTGTAGTCACGACTTCCAGGCTGGTGGTAAGGACCTCTGGGAACCCCACTAAAAGCACATGTGGCTGCCACCGAGCACCTGCCTCTCCCTGCTTCACGTGTATTTGCGCATCTCACCTCACCTCCTAAGCAAGGCTACACAAGAGCAGAGCGTGTCAGAAATCAGGCACCACCGCCCCCCTCCTGACTCCTGCATCGTTCCCAGTGGGACCCGGGCACTTGCCCATCTCTTCCTTCTTTTATAAG